AGGAGGAGGTAATTCAGTCTGTTCGTTTCTGGCACGGTCTTTTTGTCTGTTGGTTTCTTTTTGTTTTAGTAGACGTTTTACGGCGCTCGCAACTGCATAAGGTCATATGAGCGCAAGAAGATTGGAGGTGCTACAAGAGAGTAACAACAAACATAAAAAAGAAGAAGTTTCAAGAAGGGGAGATAAGGACGATAGATGTTTGATAGGAAAGAAGAAGAAGCAAACCACACCAGAGCACCCGCCAACCACCCACTGTTGGTTTCTCGTTTGGTGGACACGTGGGGCTTACAGCTTCAAAGCGGAGAATGTGTAGCTTTTGCATTTATAATGGAAAGAGTATTAAAGAAAAAGAAAATTCTCTTCACAAGTGCTTATATATATATATAAAATGATAGAATATAGGTCTAATAGAATATAATACATTTTAAAAAAACACTTCCCAACTGAACAATGCAGTACCTTTTCCATCAATCGGGAATTTATCTGTGATTTCCTGACCAGATTTCTCATACAGCAGATATGAAATACTTTCAAACTCTCTTATTTGAAACCTGGAAAACAATTCATCACGTCGTTTCAGGTGTTTAAACATTTGCCTTCCTCGTCTGTAAAAACAGTGCATTGAACACAGGGTTGATGAAGGTTATACAGTTACATTAGAAGTGTAGGAACATTTTATTTGGTGACTAACTGGTTCCTATACAATGGAAATTCTGGATCGATAATAACACCATACAACGGAAACCTAGAGTCATTGGAGACTAAGCCATTCAGTCACTTTTACGACACCAGCAACACAACAAGGTCATTTAAGTGCCCAAGATTAGCGGTGTTACAAGAGAGCAACAAACATAAAAAAAGGAGGAGGAGGAGAGAAAAGGACGATATATATTTGATTGATAGGAAAGAAGGAGCAGACCACACCAGAGCACCCGCCTAACCAATTGAAGAGGGCAGAAAAGGTAAACACCGCAAGTGGTGCGACTGTTGCGTGTAGCTTTCTACGGCAAATGAGAGGGCAAAGTTTACTGATCCGTCCCCCCTTGCAACACAGTGAAGTTAAACGGGGGGGGGGGGGACCTCCAAAACTTAACGCCCATCTCTGAAAGTGAAAGGACCCAGACAAATGGGAACATTAGTGAGTTTGCTTGACAAAGGCCGCTCTCTTCAGACACCATTTTCTCTCTGTCGTTGGTTTTTGTCCTATTTCTATATTCGACGTGCCCTGTCTCTCCAGCTACTGTGCGCCTACAGTCCAGCCCCTCATTATTTTGATCCTGGCCATTCCTGCCGTTATTTTTCAATTCTCACAACCTTCTTCCAACACATAAACGAATCCCATGAAGACATACATGTCAGTTATGAATCTTAGGAGCAAGTTATTCAAACCAGTCATTAGATGCGAACCAGTTATGAATCTACTAAGAAGGAAGTTATTCGAACCAGTCATTTATTGCGAACCAGTTATTCAAACCAGTCATTAGATGCAAACCACCAATCCACTGAGCATGTATTATAAAAATTAACAATATACAGGTACATATGCAAAAAAATGAAGTTTTGCAGGGGTGCAATTAATCATATAAAAAATATTTGACCCCGCTCTTTATAGCTCTTCATTTGGTCCTCAGCACACGACAATTACAACTCAGCAAACAAGAATCACAATTTTATAAATATATATATATATATATAAATATATATATATATATATATAAATATATATATATATATATAAATATATATATATATATATAAATATATATATATATATATAAATATATATATATATATATAAATAAACTATACTACTTGCCCACTATAGATCTTGTGGAGATACAGATACAAGTGTAAAGAAAAAATATATATAAGTTGTAACTAATGTAACTGTAGATGTTTTACGCCCTCTTCAACATTATTTAGATCATTTTGGAGGTGGGCTGTTTCAACTCTGTCTGTCAATGTCAAGGCCAATCCTGTCTGTCTGTGTCAAGGCCAATGCTGTCGGTCAATGTCAAGGCCAATGCTGTCGGTCAATGTCAAGGCCAATCCTGTCGGTCAATGTCAAAGGCCAATCCTGTCGGTCAATGTCAAAGGCCAATGCTGTCGGTCAATGTCAAGGCCAATGCTGTCGGTCAATGTCAAGGCCAATGCTGTCGGTCAATGTCAAAGGCCAAACCAGGCAGAGAGGGAGACAACATCCCAGCAGAAAGACAGATACTCAATAAAAATTCTCGCGTCACAGAAATCAAACTCACGACTTCTGTAAGCGACGCCACGACAAAGCCCTTAACCCCTAGACCATAGATGCTGGAGTATCAAGAGAGAGGTGAGAAGAAATTATGAAAACTTACAAGCTATAAAACAGCTTTATATAATCTGTCCCTTGTTGGTCTTCTGAAGTTCCTAACTCCAACAACTCGCAGCGTACGTCATTGGGGGAGCGGGCCGCTCCGACTCCCATCAGAACATTGGGAGAAGAGGGAGAAACATCTCAGTTGGATCCAACTTATATATATATATATATTCAAACTCTGACTTTGAGTCATGTCATCTGCAAGCTCATATCAAATTTTGTGAAAGCGCTCGGCTCGCTAAAAGAGAGAGGCAAATATTCATTCAGAACGTAGCACTCAACATAGGAGCCAACATTTCAGGACATAGCACTCACAGGACGTAGCACTCACAGAACGTAGCACTCAACACAGGAGACAACATTCAGGACGTAGCACTCAACATAGGAGCCAACATTCAAGACGTAGCACTCACAGGACGTAGCACTCACAGGACGTAGCACTCAACACAGGAGCCAACAGTCAGGACGTAGCACTCAACACAGGAGCCAACATGCAGGACGTAGCACTCAACACAGGAGCCAACATTCAGGACGTAGCACTCACAGGACGTAGCACTCAACATAGGAGCCAACATTCAGGACGTAGCACTCAACATAGGAGCCAACATGCACATTTTGCACTCAATTTGTGGACATTTAGTCGAGAAGTTGCATTATTTAGGTTAGATTCATGGACATACAACACTTTTTTGCATAGCATAGTGTAGACAGGGAAACAGGCAGACGCAGTGTAAATAATACTATTTCAGTACAGTGGAACCTGCTCTTTTTTTTTTTTAGTTGAGTACGGTACGAGTTTTATGGCATTTGCAATACAATAAGGTCATGTAAGTGCCGAAGATTAGAGGTGTTACAAGAGAGTAACAAACACAAAAAAAGGAGGTAAGATGAGAGATGATAGATTTTTTATAGGAAAGAAGGAGCAAACCACACCAGAGCACCCGCCAACCACCCACTGATCTAACGAGCACCTGTCCAAGACAATCACCTGTACAAACAACCACATCCCCCCCCCCCCCTTGCGTTTTTCAAATATGTGAGGCAGTGTGGTGAAATCAGGCGCTCGTCAAAACAATCAAATAAAAGAAGACGGCATTTTTCTGGGTGTCGAGTCATTTGTTTCAAAATTTTCATTTTTTGGAGAAACACTTTTTGTCCTTTTAAAATGCATTTCTGGGAACATGCTACCGAAAAACGTTCAGTAAAGACACAGAAAATGTAAATTTTCCCTTTCCAAGGACTCTCAAGCTTTGAAAGTCACCAAACTTTGGCAGTCATTTTCTCGCTAGTCTTACCTCTCATACCGGGCGACCCCACCACCTTCCATCGCAAAAATCTGGATTTCAATGCCAGGTAGAGGGGTATCTTTTTTCCTTCACAATGCAAGACGAATGAACAAACTTAAAAACTATATTACCAAGTAACTCCATATGCTCAACAAATTGACCAGCGCCTGATTCCACTGCGTCGTGACACATATGTGAGGCAGCGTGGTGGAATCAGGCTCTCGTCAATTTTTGGGCACATTGAGTTATTGGTATCATCTTAAAGCTTGTTCACTTGTCTTTCTTTTGATGAAAAAATATCCATTTATCTTAAATACAAGTCAAGATATTTGGGAATGAAGGAGGTGGGGGGGGGGCACCTGTTTTCAGAGGTAAAACTAGTGAGAAAATGGCCGCCAAAGATAAGTTATTTTCTTAGCTTAAGAGTCCGTGGTAACTAAAAATTTACATTTCTTGTGCCTTTAATCAACGTTTTTCAGAAAAATTCACACAGAAATTAATTCTTTAATGGGCATGAAAGGTGTTGAGCCAAAAAAACAAAAATTCAATAAAAATTCACAAACCTGCGGAAAAATGCAAGTTTTTTCATTTTGATTATTTTGATGAAAGCCTGATTCCACCACGCTGCCTCACATATAATAATGACACTGTCCACTGTCCAAGACAACCCCTGCTCTCCCGAACTATGAGAGGTCGTCTCGGACAGTTTCAAACTGTATTTTCTTGTTTCATGACAGAGCTGTGGAAAGTTATTTTGTAAAGAAAAGTCTTACATGTGTAAATAGTATTAGTATGCATAAATGTGCACATGCAAGCAAATTTCTGTGTGAGTGTGAGCATGTGTTTGTCTATATGTGTATGAGAATAGAGACAGAATGGAATATACAAGGAAGAAAAGGGAGAGAGAGAGCGAGAGTGAAAAAGAAGAAAGGACAGGAAGAACATACTTTTTTCCCCACTACTGATTTCATCTAAAATTATGGTAAAACTTTGAAAAGCAGTCAGAAATATTTGTGCTTTGAAGAACATCTCAGTGACGTACCTTATAGAAAGAAAAGCCTTTCTCCAACTTACATGACAGCGCTACATCAGAAATCACAACGATTATAATGGAAGTTGCACAAAGGAAAAATGAACCCCATGACAAAAGCAGTTCACAAAGTTTGTCTGATCAGCATTTTAAGTAGGATCCCAAAGCAGTTCACAGAGCTCATCTCCTTTTTAAGTTGGAACCCAACAATTATCAAGCCAGAAAATGTTATTTTGGAACCCAACAATTATCAAGCCAGAAAATGTTATTTTGGAACCCAACAAAATTATCAAGCCAGAAAATGTTATTTTGGAACCCAACAAAATTATCAAGCCAGAAAATGTTATTTTGCAACACAACAATTATCAAGTCAGAAAATGTTATTTTGGAACACAACAATTATCAAGCGGGAAAATATTTACTCAGTTACAGAAAAAACTACTTGAAGTTCAGAACCTTTGGACTCTGACCACGACCACAAGAATTCCCATCATTCCACTTCCAGCCTATGGCCCAACGCATGATACTGATAAGCATGTATCGACAGCACAAGGATAGAACACAGTACATAAGGTTCTTTTTCTCTTGACAAGCAACAGGCAATCAAAGCCACTGAATGCATGCATAAATACACACGCGAGCTATGCCCATACGACTTTATCATTCAGCACTCAAGATTTTTCTACTACTCCGAGCTATTCAAAGCGTGGTAAAGCCATTTCAATGCTGTGTGGTTTTTATGGCAGATGGATATATTCATCTAATTTTTCTGAACCCATCATAAAATTAAACCACATTAAATCTAAAATCGTTGAGGTAAAAACGGAAATACTTTGTGCTTGATGATTACAAGGCAGTGACAAGTGGAGCCAACAAGAGTTATAAAACATGCCTGCAAGAAGTATTCACCACGATTCAATAGTCACACCGTGAATAGTTCAAGGAGGAAGAAGTGCAGAGGAAGGCTTTGCAGGAAATTTACAGCAGGCCGACGCAATTAGGCCCCCCTTCCCCTACTCAAAATTCGAACCATGTTGAACGATGATGGGACGTCATCGTATTGCACGACCTACATGCCATCGTTGGCTCAGTAAATAGCACTGTGAATGCTGAATACTGAACAGGGAGGAGTGTTGTTGGTGGACCTGCACATAAAGAAAAACTATTCGCATGTGTGTGTGGTATTTGAAAAGCACAAATAGTGCCGTCACCCTTTGAAACATTGGCCAAGTTTTGTTTCCTCAAAATCTCCCAGCACTCACACACACACACCAACCAAGGGCAGTCCTCTCTTTGTAGCAGTACTTCTTGTGACTTGACCATTCTACCTTCATTTTTACACCCCAAAAAAACCCAGCAAGACTCACGCATTCTTAACTGAAATAAATAAAATTCACGGATATTTGTTTTGCTCAAATTGTGTTGACTTTCTCTCATTACATTAATTGCGTGTCCAACATCTGTCGAGTTAACAATATATTAAATATCTTTTGGGTGGCACAGTCCAAGTACATGTATACTTATACATACATATATATATATATATATTTGATTTACTCACAAAACACATCATGACTCGTTCACAGAAAGCAAATAAAAACAAACCATATGAAAGGCATTCAGTTGGGGAACATATGTACACCAGTGTAAATAATTTAAAATTCATTGCACAAAGAACATGAGGGAATTAACACTGTATACAAATGCACATGGAGACAACTGACTGGGCTTGTGCTACAAACTCTCGTAGTCTCCGCCCGGGCTGCCCAGGAAAGCCTCCAGGTCGTTGTCCTCATCCAGCTCCTCCTCCGCTTTCTTCTTTTTCTTCTTCTTCTCCTTCTTCGCAGCTCCGTCCTTGCTGGACTTTTCTTTACTTCCGCTGCCGTCTTTCTTTTTCTCGTCTTTGTCTTTCTTTTTGCGGTGCTTCTTTTCGGACTTCTCTTCATCCTGCAAGACGGGAACAAACGGGTTTGGGTTGGTTTTTTGGGGGGTTTTAGTACAGGTTTTACGGTGCTCGCAACTGCACAAAGTCATAGGTTTGGTTTTTAGTACCGTACCAATTTTATGGCACTTGCAAAAGGTCATGTGTGAGGCAGCGTGGTGAAATCAGGCTCTCGTCAGTTTTTGGGCATGTAGAGTTATTGGTATCATCTTAAACTTATTCAGTTGTCTTTATTTGGATGAAAAATGTATCCATTTATCTTGAATACAAGTCGAGATATTTGCAAATGAAGGAGGTGGGGGTCACCTGTTTTCAGAGGTAAGATTAGTGAGAAAATGGCCTCCGCAGATTAGTTATTTCCTTACCTTAAGAGTCCGTGGTAACTGAATATTTACATTTTGTGTGCCTTTAATCAACGCTTTTATGAAAAACCCACACAGAAATGAGTTGAGCCAAAAAAACAAAAATTTGGTTAAAATTCATAAACCTGCGGAAAAATGCAGGTTTTTTTCACTTTGATTATTTTGAGGAGAGCCTGATTCCATCACGCTGCCTAACATAGAAGTGCAGAAGAAAAACAGAGAAAAGAAGGAGAAGAAATAAGGGTGATAGATATTTGATAGGAAAAAAGGAAACACTACACTAGAGCACCCATCAACCACCCAAACAAATAGGTTTATCTTTTTCAAAGACATCACAGAATGTTCTGGAAGCAGCACACTGGTAAACTCAATAAGGATGCTTCAACTGTTCTTTTAATCTGAAGGGTGCAGTGTCGGAGCTGTTAGTGCGCTCGTCTCCGAAGCAGAAAGTCCGGGTTCGAGCCTCGGTTCTGATACTGATTTTTTTTCGCCCCCTCCTGAACACCCAGCAGTAATGGGTACCTGACTTCGAGTTGGGGAGGTAAATGCGGCGTGGGAAAGAACTGGCCACCCTACCACAATATGCCGAAGGCCCAGGAAGTTGTCTCACTAACAAGGCAATCCCCAATGTCCGGATCGTAAGCGGGAACAACTTTACTTTTTTGTGTTCTTCATCTGAAACTCCCAAAAGGCAGACAACATCGTGCATACTATGAAATAATATAGGCAAATTGTAGGTTTATGATTTGTGTTTAAGGATTCCCAATGTGCATCAACCTTGCCTTTGGTCTGTCTGCTGCTGATTGGACAAATGAACAAACCACACAAGAGCACCCGCCAACCACCCACTAGTGCATCTTGGGCCCTGCACACGACCAGTTAACAGTTTTTAGTTCAGTTTAGTATGGTGTTTTACAGCGCTCGCAACGCCATAAGGTCATATGAGCGCGTGAAACAAGTTGGTTTTTTTCTCAACAGTTTATTTCTTGGTCTGGTATTGGTCAATATTTCTATTTAAAACTTTAAAAACGCTAAAAATCGAGTGTAAATAGATTTTAGATTTAAATATAAATTTAAAACAACCTTCTACATGACGTTTAAAAATTCATAACTTTCCATAAAGGCCAATGGCCTACATAAAATCCAAAATTCTGTTGGAAAGATGGAAAAAATGTCTTGCAATTTTTTGCATTTATAGTACAGTAGTCTCCGCCTAAGATCCCAGTGCTCGGGAGCAAGGAAAAGCGGGATCTTAGGCGAACCGGGATCTTAACCGACGAACCCAGGGAAGAATCTATGGTGACCCATGTTAAGGCTTACAATCGGTAAAATGGTCTCCCTCCACTCTAAAATGAACTGACGTGACCGCTTGGTGGGTTTATGACGTATGGCGAGCAAAGAGTGGTTAACCTTGATGACCTATCACAGGGCATAGTGGGATGAGGCGTGCCATTTTCACTTATTATCCTATCATGAGGCTCAAGATCTACGCTTATCAAGTTGCCCCTCCCCTCCCACTTACCTGTCGAAAGTTCATAGATTTCCATCTCCCCCAACCGCCTTTGTCGTTACACACCATTACGTTGTGAACACACCTATTAAAATTCAGTCTGTCTCGCAAATTCGGGAGTAGAAACAACTTCTCCAATGGTCAGGGAAGAGTTCACAGTTCAATGTGATCCCGCCTGGAGCGAACGTGTAGGCCCTACCCACCCAATGAGTGATGTAAGTTTATGGGGATAGCTCAGGTGTGAGTGAGATGTTCGGGGAAAACAAACGTGTCGGTCAGTTCACACCCCGGTGTGATCCCGTCTGGGGCAAACATTGTATCGCTTCATCGAGTTTTACAACGTGTATGTGGTCACATTCACGATAGTAGCTGATCTTTGATGCGACGGACAGTTTATTGATCTCAAATTTTCACTCTTAGTTGATCGGCTGTCCCGCCCGGGTTTTTGTTCCGCAAATTATGATCTGAAATGCGGGATCTTAGCCGAATGTAGACCTTCAGAGTGAATCAGAGCGGGATCTTAGGGGTGACTTTTGTATAGTAAAAATTATGTTTTCTTGAATCAGCGGGATCTTAAGTGAACCGGGATCGTAAGCGGTGGGATCTTAGGCGGAGACTACTGTATTTCCTTCGGGTCTCTCCAAAGTCTAGACATTCGGTTAAAATGTGTCTAATGGTAAAATCTGTGCCGCATCCGACACAGAACGGCTTCTCATCTCCCTGAAGGAGGTATTTGTGTGTTAGGGCCGTGTGTCCGATGCGTAATCGAGTAAAAATGACTTCGTCTCTTCTGGAGAGGTCCGAAGGATTTCGCGGTCCCAGTTTGGGTTTATAATTGTGGAGTTTGTTATCCGTCTGTTTTTTTCCAGTGGCTCTCCCACAGACTCGACCAGTAACCAAAACATGAGCAGCTCACGGGTCACTACCATAGGCCACTCGGAGACAAAAGGCTAAGTTCTAAATGTTCCTATTCCTTCAACGAGAGACAAAACAGTCCGTCCGGTGACAACACAGCACCACTGACCTTGTCCTCCGTTTTCTTCTTCTTTTTCTTCTTCACGGCAGAAGGATTCGGCAGCTCCTCCTCAATGTCAGATGATATTTTCTCTGGAAATGAAAAAACAGGCACGCTTCGGTGAACAAGTGGGGCAATGGAAACTAATCCATACATGACATGGACGTTGGTGGTCTAGTGGTTAGGCTACCCGGCTCCTAATGGTGAGATCGCCGGTTCAGGATTCAAGGCTCAGCTCTATCCAATGTTGTATCCTTGAGAAAGGCCCTTTACATCAATGTTCCCATTAGGCTCAGTCCTATCAGAGACGGACGTTAAATCAAAGTATTCAAAGCAGTATTGGCCATGTGTGTGTGTGCCTAAAGAAAGGTACCAAAAGTCAGATTTTGACCATTTTGAATTAAGGGTTGTACCTAATGGGAAATTCAATCCTGTACATTAGGGTCTTTGAATTTTTTTAGACATCTCAAGTTGTTTTTGAGATATCGCACATTTTGTGAGGTAGGGTATAAAAACATGATTTTGAGAAAATGAGCTTTTTGTTTGTTTTAATAAGTGTTTTACAGCACTTGCAACACAATAAGGTCATATAAGTGCCGAAGATTAGAGGTGTTACAAGTGAGTAACAAACACAAAAAAGAAGGAGGAGAAATAAGGACGATAGATGTTTGATAGGAAAGAAGGAGCAAACCACACCAGAGCTCCCGCCACCCACCCACAAATGAGCTTTTCAGTTTAACAAACGTGAGAACATGGCATTCAATTGACCACAATATCATGAGTGGAATTCAATGGTAAAACATAGCAGGGAAGAGAAAGCGTGCTTCAAGAATAGATTTTCACACCTTTTCAAAGCAGTTCTCATTATTTGTTTTTTATTATACCCTACCCTCAAAATAATTCAAAATAATGGTGGTCTAGTGATCAGGCTACCCGGCTCCTAACGGTGAGATCGCCGGTTCAGGATTCAAGGCTCAGCTCTATCCGATGTTGTATCCTTGAGAAAGGCCCTTTACATCAATTTTCCCATTAGGCTCAGTCCTATCAGAGACGGACGTTCAATTCTGAAGTCCTGCCTCATAAATATCCTTACACTTACAGAACTGCTTGGAATCAGGAACCTATCTAATTTCCAAACAAGGCAGAACTTCCACCATGCGTCTAGGCATTTACAACTAAGGTTTATTCTTTGAATACAGAATAGGACATACAGATACATTTCGGGAAAAAAAAAGTTCAAAATACAGAAAATCTCCACAGCCCTTACCACTGACTAATAATCTAATATGTAAGGCAGCGTGGTGGAATCAGGCTCTCGTCAAAATAATCAAAGAGAAGAAACTTGCATTTTTCCAATGGTTTGTAAATTTTTTTCAAATTTTTATTTTTTGGTTCAACACCTTTCATGCCCATTAAAGAACTCATTTCTGTATGGATTTTTCTGAAAAACGTTGATTAAAGGCACAAAAAAAGTAAATTTTCAGTTACCACAAACTCTTAAGCTAAGGAAATAACTAATCTTTGGCGGCCATTTTCTCACTAATCTTACCTCTGAAAACAGGTGACCCACACCCCCTTCATTCGCAAATATTTCGACTTGTATTCAAGATAAAAGGATATTTTTTTCACCCAAATAAAGACAAACGAACAAGCTCCGATCTGATTGATGATACCAACAACTCTACCTGCCCAAAAATTGACGAGAGCCTGATTCCACCACGCTGCCTCACATATCATCCGCGCGACATGTGGAGGCAGGTTGTGGCAAGGAGTCGGGCACCAACCGACCAACACAGCCACGGTGACAACTGCACAACTGACTGGTGAGAGACGGGCGACAGGTGTGACAGGTGTGACAGGTGACAGGCAAAACATGACAGAACAATGTACTGGTAACAGTGACTTATATGTGGCGTCGGCGGCCTAGTGGTTAGGCTCTCGGACTCGCAACCGTAAGGTCGTGGGTTCGAATCCCGTCAGGGGCCCAACGTTGTGTCCTTGGGAAAGGCACTTTGCACAAATTTTCTTCACTTCACCCAGGTGGAAATGGGTACCCGGCTATAAACAGTGAATGATCTTGTCAGTTTGATAGTGTTTTAGCGCGTGAAATCCGCAGCTTGCACTGTATGCTTCCGCGGAAGCCGAGAATGTTTCTGAGTGTTTTCAGAGGGTCTGCTGGGGTAATTATGGTTGTAAAGCGCATAGAGCATGCTCTTGAGCGTGGATATGCGCTATATAAATGCAATTGTTATTATTATTACTTACTGACTTTGACAGCCCCATCGCTGTCGGAGTCGTCATCGTCGCCACTGTCGGCTCTCACCGCCTTACTCTTCGATGACTTGCTCTTGGGAGCTGCAGCTTTCTTTGCTTTCTCCGCAGGTCCTGTGGGCTGCTGGAACATCAACAGGAATAAATGGATTGATTGATTGATTGATTGACGAATTGACGGATTATCTGACTGATTGACTAACTGACTGCCCGACTGATTGATTGACTGACTGATTAATTGATTACAATTTTTGTGTGTGTGTGTTACAGCGCTCGCAACTGCATAAGGTCATGTGAACGCATGGGATGCATTAAACATTTTCAGTTGATAGGAAATTTTGAATTTTGCCCGGGTGATGGCCGACGCCTACTCTTATTGATTTTAGACCACCAAAGGATTTTTAACGTGAGCAACTAGCAAACAGGACTTCTGAGATTTTTTGCCATTGTCTGAGAAGGCTAGGTGTACATCTTCCTTACCAAAAGATCAGGGGTGTGGTTGAAAGACAGCACTAAGGAGCCAAGGAGTAGCAGTAGAAAGGCTGTAGAAAGAGTCTGGAGCCCAAAGGAGGGTGCAAAGGAGGTGAGGGGGTGGGGGCAGAAAGTGGAGATGAAAGCAGGCGACAGAACATTGCTAGATAGCAGGAAAGGAGGTGAAAGGAGACAATTTTAGAGGAGAACATTTTTCCATCGCTACTCGGATTCGAACCCGGGACCTTTGAATGAGAATCGAACACCTTAACCTCTAGGCCACACGAGCCTCCATTGATTGGGTCTATACAGCATGTTAAGCGAGGTATAAAAGTTATGGATGGAGCATATTGACGTAACTTTTGTTGTTTTTAGTAAGTGTTTTACGGCACTTGCAACACAATTAGGTCATTTAATATCATTTGAGTTCCGAAGATAAGAGGCGTAACAAGAGAGTTCCGAAGATAAGAGGCGTAACAAGAGAGTAACAAACTTTAAAAAGTAGGAGGAGAGATAAGATCCACATAGAGAGAAAGAATACAAGGAAAAGTAAAGAAGTAGAACCTCCCAGTGACTCCCTCCAACCACCCTCACTCACCTTCTTTGTTTGTTAGAGTAAGGAGAAGCACATCGACACAATAATGGTCATTCAGTACTGGGAAAAGGAGAGACAGACAGAACAGATAGACAGAAACAATAGAGGAAAAGTTAAGAAGTAAGAGCTATCAGTGGCTCCCTCCAACCACCCACACAGACAGAAACAACTGAGGGGAAAGTACATGAGTAGGACCTACCAGTGACACCCTCCAATCACCCACACACAGAGAGAGAAAAGTATAGAAGTAGGATCTACCAGTGACACTCTCCAACCACCCACACAAACAGAAACAACAGAGTGGAAAAAAAGTACAGAAGTAGGACCTACCAGTGACACCCTCTAACCACCCACACAGACAAAAACAACAGAGGGGAAAGTTCATATTAAGTAGGAACAACCAGTGATACCCTCCGGACCACCCACACTCACCTTGCTTTCAAACTGGTCCAGCCAACTGTTGAGATCCTCCTGCGGCACTTCCATAACCGGGGCTGCGGGCGTGTCTGAGGCTTCCCCGTCGTTCTCCGCTCCGTTATCGTCAGAGTCCAACTCCGCCGCGTGATGGTCCCGACTTTTCTTTTTGCTGACAGATGTGGAGCCGTCGCTGGACCCGGAAGCACCGTTGGCATTGACTTGATGAGTCGATTTACCGGCTGACTGTTTGTTTGCGTGCTTGTCGTTGGCACTGCTGCTGATGGCGACGGGTATATCTTCGTCTTCCGACTCCGTTACATCGACGTCGGCTGCAGATACGACAGGTTTCGCTTTCGCGGAAGTCGCGGAGGTTTTTAGCGAATTTGCACTGGAGGCTGTCTTTGTGGAATGTGCTGGAACGTTTGGAATAGGGGGCGGCGGGGCACTGTCCCCTTCATCACTGGAGAGATCTGCGTCTTGTGTCACCGCCGGGTTCCTGTCATCGTCATCGTCCGAGTCGATCGGACCAACACTTTTGGAGTTTCCTTTGTCCTCGTCTTCGTCCTCTGATGAGGAAAACTGTTTGGAGGTCACCACTCCAGATGTAGCCTCGTCCTCTGACTCAAGGTCATCTCTAAAGCCTGCGACCATGGGATTGCCTTCCTCTTCACTGTTAGAGAGGAAAAAACCCCAAAAATATGCTGAAAGCATCACAAATACACGGTCGCTTTCAAGGACAAGCGGGCTAACCCAGATTTCGGGGGTTTCCAGAAATCTTGACCTACACCAAAAGTCAGCATTGTCCTACCTAAAGGAGAAGTTTGGTTACATTGGTGTGTGTATTTGTTTGGTTATAGAAAAAACTCTCCTGATCTTTTAAAGAAACTGAGCAGGAGGCAAACACTTTACCTTCAATTTTCTCAAAACAACATTTTTCGGGATAGCCCCCCTCCACATGTCAGTTGACAAAATGTTCCACAAAGAAAAGTGAACCAGGAAGGAGGTCTAAAATTGAACATAGAACTCATCATAAGCAAGGGAAGCCTGCCTCTAATGCTCAAGGCACTTAAGGGGAGACGTACACTCCCGGAAAAATGTTCTAAACGAATGACTTTTCTTCAATTTCATGTAATTGTGCAAGAAGTTCATAGGTAAATAGGATGTACTAGGGGTGAATTTGTTCAATTTTTCTGAAAAATGGATCTCTGTGGCGGCCATCTTGGATTTTCAAACCAGTTTCTTAGTGCAGAAGATTTTCATAGTAAATATTGAATTATCAGCCTGAAATTTGGCACACAAGTACAAACCTATATGAACTGGGGATCCATGAAAGGATTTTGACCTATCTTTAAAACTAAAAAAGTGAGCCCAAAGTCATTGGACCCCCTAGAGTCAGTTGAAATTTTGGGGTACATATAAAAAAAATTGAATATTTTCTCAAGTTACCAATATTTCCCAATTCCCTTTCATAGATCCCTAGAACTGATCTTAAAGCACCTGTACACCAAATTTGAAGCTTCTAGCTTCTGTAGTTTTTGAAAACTTCTAGCACCCAGGAGGTCACATATATCAAAAAGTAGATTTTGAGAAAAACAGAAAAAACGGATTTTTAAAAGGATTTTTTGAGCAATTTGCACTTTTCAAACGCCTTTTTAGGTCATTTAGGGTGTTTTTTCAACAGTTTCTTCATTTTGACTCGATAGAACAGATGTCAAAGGATGTTTTTCTGCAAAAAACAAAAGTAGGATAGTTTTAAAAATTGTATCGATATTGCCTTGGATCGCCGACCCGGGTCTTCCCTTAAAGGGAAATATTGGCCCAACTTAAGTGGGGAGATCCAAAACTCTACTGTACAGCAAACCTCCACCCTGAAGACTGGGATATTAATTTCGACTGCTTAGTCTGAAATTCCACCACACGTCACTTTCAAAAGTGGTGTTGATTGGACGTTTACACCGAGCAATCGATCTAACGATGAACAAGAGGAAGAAGAAGCTAGGGAAAATTTACCTGTCTCACTCTTCCTCCACTTTTCTGATCCCAAAGACCACATATCAAAGACCAATTTACCCGACACAGGAACTTTTACTTATCAACTTTACTACCAGTGTCCTAACATAAGACCGCAGACAGGAAAAAGAGGCTAAAACAGCACCTGGACATGGATGGCTGGTGCCTCTATAAATAAATCATTGATGGTCAAGGCCTAACATAAGAAAGCAACGTTATTTTCCCTGCCACACAGACCTCATCATCATCATCATCATCATCATCATCATCATCATCATCCAGTGCCAGATCTGCTATAGACATCGGCGATCATGGTTCTCCACTCATTCCTTTGCTCTCAAAAAAAGCCACATTTCCCTGATCTTTCCCTGTTACCCATTTGTTTAGGTTCCCTAAGTATGTTGTTCTGGGCCTACCCCTGCCTCGCTTGCCCTCAATTTTGCCAGCGAGAGCTAGATGTTCAAGACCCTTATGTCTATTCAGGTGTCCCAAAAACTGCATTTGTCGTTACCTGATTGTTTTGAACATTGAGCGTTCCTCATCATAAGCAAGAGAAAACTGACCTCTCCGACTCCTCCTCCACTTTGGTGACGCCAGGTACCACGGGCTCTTTAGTGTCGTCCAGGAAGCCGCTGTCTAGACCGTCGGCGTCCGGCACGAAATCCTCCACACTTTTCATCACGGCCGGAGGTGCTTCGTTTGATGCAAGATCTGAAAGTCGTCAAATGAAATTATCAACAACACTTCACCAAAACCTTTTCTTCAACATGCATATCTCCTGGAGATAACCAAGTTTGATACTTTTTTCTCAACAAAACTGGGAAAAGGTTGCATTCTGTAGATTCTTGAGTCTTAAAACTTTTGGATAACTTTTTGGGGGATTGTCATTTATCTATAACAATTTTTCTGTTTAAAATGTAGATGTCTTCACACCCCCAAGGACACAGTTTAGATAATTTTAGGAACGGGCTTCTATCTCGCCTGATGACGCCAACCCGGGCAGAGAGAGTCACAACCTCCCAGTAGAAAGACCAAGATACTTGAGAAAAAATTCTCCCCCAAATATACTCCTTTTGACAGCTAGAATCATCCAGACAATGACTATTGCCCCAAATATACTCCTTTTGACAGCTAGAATCATCCAGATAATGACTACTGCCCCAAATATACTCCTTTTGACAGCTAGAATCATCCAGATAATGACTACTGCCCCAAATATACTCCTTTTGACAGCTAGAATCATCCAGACAATGACTATTGCCATTGAGGAGTGAGCAGGAAGAACTCTCAGAAACAAAACAGTTCAGTTCGCTTAAACCAAACACCGTTAATCCAAATACAGCAGTAAACCAAAAGAAAACAAAAACCCGGACTTTGTTCCTTCGCTATTCAAACAATCTCTCAGATCCGAAATCCCAAAAATCACCTGAAATCCCAAAAGTCACCTGAAATCACAAAGACAATCCTCCAAACCAAAATGCGGGGGGGGGGGGGGGGGGGGGATCAGGTGGGTACAGCAGATTTCAGTTCAAGTGGACTCAGGTGTAGCTCCACATGTTAACCCTATCAGACCCAACCCCCTGAACCTAACTTCCCCCTATACCTGACCTCCTGATCAAAAGTGTGCAGAAACGCATGTGGATCATTATCACCACTATCGTCCAAGTCCATGCTTTCATCACTAGATATCTACTACTACCACTGCTCTCCAAGTCATGATCAAGATCTCCTTCATAATCGGATAGGTCTTCAAGCACTTCTTGTGTGGTAAACAGCTGAGACCTAGTCCTCTTTCCTGTCGAAGTGCTTGGTTCATCAGCACACCTCTTCATGACGATAAAAATCCAAAATTTGGAAGACAAACAACACTGCAGTCCGACATGGAGTCTACCATTTGCAATGATCAATTCTCGCACTAAATGCAGAGTTTAGAGCTGATTGGCTGACTATTTTTAAATATGACGTGATCTTATGACGCGGCCTCCCAATTACTTGTCAAGCGGTAATCCGGCATAGTTGAAGTTTTGAGTATTTCTGATGTACCGGGAATACAGTCCGACAGGGTTGAGAGGGAAATTCTACTCACTCAAAGTCTTCGGCGGAGAAGCAGAAGAACTCTGAGCCTTGTTGCCCTTGAACAAACGAGAGAAAATTCCAGTCTTTGCCCCCTCTGTCTGCGGAGTGTTGGTCGGGCTGCCCGTCTCTGATTGGCTGTCTCGCGGCGGTGGAGCTGTGGCCTCTGTCTCGGCGGGTTTCGCTGCTTCCGACGTTGCCGGGGACTGAGTATCTGATGGAACTGTTGGCTGAGACGGTGAGGGAGGGACAGCTGGGGATGGAAGGAGGGGGTGGTGGGGGAAGAAAGAAACAAGTATTGTGATAGGAAGAAGCAAAAAAATCAACATAAAATTGCTTTTTAAAAAAATGTTTCATAAGAATTTCAGGCAGTTGCAACACAAACAGCACATACAAGAGCCGGAGATTAGAGGAGTTACTAGTGAATAAATGGTAGAGGTGTTACTAGTGAATAAATGGTAGAGGAGTTACTAGTGAATAAATGGTAGAGGAGTTACTAGTGAATAAATGGTAGAGGTGTTACTAGTGAATAAATGGTAGAGGTGTTACTAGTGAATAAATGGTAGAGGAGTTACTAGTGAATAAATGGTAGAGGAGTTACTAGTGAATAAATGACAAAAACAAAGAGGAGGAGAGAGGAGGATGATAGATGTTTTATAGAAAAGAAGCAACCCACACCAGAGCACTTGGCAACCACCTGTATAAACTTGGTTTTACTGCGACTGATAGTACATTTAATAATAATAATAACAACGATGAATAATTGCATTTATACAGCGCATACCAGTACCACACCACCTCTTTACCTGCCCTGCGCCTTGCGACCTGCGTAGCACCTACCTACCTGCCTCCCCAGACATCGGAAATACTCTATACAGCGACAAAGCACTGCTGATTAAAACCTGTAAATTCTTTGCCATATCGACAGACCGAAGGGCTAGAACCCAAATGGCCGCTGGATCGGAAAAGTAAAGTAAAGTAAAGTGTATAGCGCATATCCATCCTCTACAGCACGCAAAATGTACTTTACAACAATTGTTACCCCAAGCACACCATAGAACACTCAGAAACATTCCTGGTTTAACCTTGGACAGTTTATACTTAAGCGCATAGAGCCTGCTGTTGAGCGGGATATGCGCTATCTATTATTATTATTATACTGTAATTGATGTATCAATAAGAAGATAAATAAAGAAAATTTCAAGACATTTGGAAACTTGCGCACAGTGCAATCAATACAAGACTAAAGCAAGCAAACACTGTCCAAGCCTCACCTTTAGAGGTAGTAGTGACGGTAGCCGTTGAACCGTTCCCCGTGGCTCCCACCACTGTTTCGGTACCCCCCGGCCCTGAGCTGATCACCACTGGAGCTCCGTGTTTGCCCACCAGAACTCCGGACTTGTCTTGTTTGATGGAGGCCGTGGCGGTGGCTGGCTCAGACAACTTCTCCTGCTGTTGCCGTCTTTTCTGCGTGAGGGAATCCAAAAATCTGCACCCAAGAAAAAGGAATTATGAAATCCGTCAAGTTGGGGCATTTTCATTTAGTTTTAGTGAATAAGAGTTTTACAGAATTTGCAACACAATTAGATCATATAAGGGCCAAAGATTAGAGGTATTACAAGAGAGAAACATATAGAGAAAAGATGGAGGAGAGATTAGGACGATAGATGTCTAATAGGAAACAAACCACCCCAGCCACACATATAACATTTTCAGTACTTTTGAGTGGGACAATACAAAAGACTTACAAAAGTTCAGTGGAGAGGCTCAAACTTAAACTGAAATTTGTGCGTCCTGATTTTTCCACAAAAGCCAGTTTCTAATTTTGGCCATCTCATTTTCTTTGATTCTTTCATAAATTCAAAAAATGACTTGTGCACTTGTGGAATGAAGCAGACAGTATGTATGTATGTATGTATGTATGTGTGTATGTGTGTATGTGTGTGTGTATGTGTGTGTGTGAGTGTGTGTGTGTGTGTGTGTGTGTGTGTGTGTGTCTGTGTGTATGTGTGTATGTGTGTATGTATGTATGTATGTATGTATGTATGTATGTATGTATGTATGTATGTATGTATGCCATTGTGAACCAAATATCTCCACTGAGATCAATGAAAGTAGAGTTTAGAGCTTATTAATTTATTATAAGAAGAATACAGAAAAGGTGTGAAGCTAACAACACCTTAGAAGACACTGTTGGATGTAGTCAACACAAGCTTGTGAGAAATTGTGTCGATGGGAACGTAAAAAACACTTCTATTATAAAAATCCTAAAGTTATAATAAAGTTAGGTTAGTAGATGGCAGACTGTACATTGTTACTTATTATAGTAATGATTCGCTTTCTCCAAGAATACAATCTGAAATACTACAGGTAAAGGCAGGTTCAGTAGAGTCATCAGAATCATATGTGAGGCAGCGTGGTGGAATCAGGCTCTCGTCAATTTTTGGGCATGTAGAGTTATTGGTATCATCTTAAAACTTGTTCACTTGTCTTTATGTGGGTGATAAAAATATCCATTTATCTTGAATACAAGTCGAGATATTTGCGATTGAAGGAGGTGGGGGTCACCTGTTTTCAGAGGTAAAAATAGTGAGAAAATGGCTGCCAAAGATGAGTTATTTCCTTAGCTTAAGAGTCTGTGGTAACTGAAAATTTAAATTTTTTGTGCCTTTAATAAACGTTTTTCAGAAAAATCCACACAAAAATGAGTTCTTTAATGGGCATGAAAGATGTTGAGCCAAAAAACAAAAATTGGACAAAAATTCGCAAACCTGTGGAAAAATGCAAGTTTCTTCACTTTGATTATTTTGACGAGAGCCTGATTCCACCACGCTGCCTCACATATTGCTAACACCACAGTCAACAAATGTGAGACATGCTGACAAAATAAGTTACTTCTCACAACCCATGAAAGGAGATATTGGTCGAAAATCGACACTGCGGTCAAATTTGTAGATTTTTAACTGATACCATTTTCTTTAAAGCTAACATATATTTTATTGTTTCATTTTAATATATTGTACAAACTCAGCCTATAAATTTGACGTATATATTTCCATAGCATTGAACTCCGAGAAGTAACTTGTTTTATTGTTTTAGTAAAAGTTTTACAGCACTTGCAACACAATAAGGTCACATAAGTGCCGACGATTAGAGGTGTGACAAGAGAGTAACAAACACAAAAAAAAAAAAGAAGGTGGGGAGATAATGACGATAGATGTTTGAAAGGAAAGAAGAAGTAAAACCACACAGGAGCACACGCGCCAGCCACCCACGAGAAGTAACTCGTTTAGTCAGAAGGCCTCACAAATGTAGTTCGAAGCAATAGAGGAGCAAAGCAAACGTACAAATCGTAATTTTGTTCCTCCGAGTCCTCGTGGATCTCCAGCTCCTGTATGGTGGACATCATGTCCTTCATGTTCGTCTCCAGCTGTTTCTCAAGCGTTTCTCTCTGGGGAATGACAAAATTAAATATGTGAGGCAGCGTGGTGGAATCAGGCTCTCGTCAATTTTTGGGCATGCAGAGTTATTAGTATCATCTTAAAGCTTATTCACTTGTCTTTATATGGATGGAAAAAAATATCCATTTATCTTGAATACAAATCGAGATATTTGCAATTGAATGAGGAGGGGGTCACCTGTTTTCAGAGGTAAAAATAGTGAGAAAATGGCTGCCAAAGATTAGTTATTTCCTTAGCTTAAGAGTCCGTGGTAACTGAAAATTTACATTTTTTGTGTCTTTAATCAACGTTTTTTAGAAAAATCCACACAAAAATGAGTTTTTTAATGGGCATGAAAGATGTTGAGCCAAAAAACAAAAATTGGATAAAAATTCGCAAACCTGTGGTTTCTTCACTTTGATTATTTTGACGAGAGCCTGATTCCACCACGCAGCCTCACATATTTTCAGAAGAGAAAAGGAATCACAATAAAACCTACTCTTATCGTGGCGCTTGTGGTCTAGTGGTTCGGTTGTTGGGCCCACAACCAAATGGCCAGGGGTTGGAACCCCATCAGGAGTCCCACTTGTGTGCCTTTGGGAAAAGCACTTACTTTACACGAATTTTCCTCACTTCACTAAGATGGGACTGGAAACCTAGCTATAGACTGTGAGAGATCTTGTCATTTGTTAGTATTTGCACAGTTAATTGGCTACTTGCACCCTATGCTTTCCGGGAAGCCGAGAAATGTTTCTGGGTTTTCTAGGGTGTGCTGAGGTAAAAGTGTAGATTGTAAAGCACAAAGAGTTTCCTGTTGAGCAGGGAAATGCGCTTCGCAAAAGCTGTTCATTATCATTATTACAATCACAATGTTTCTTTATTCAGATTGTAAATAACAAATTTGTGTATCAGATAGACATGCTACTCAATCATTAGCAAATTTCATGCTAGTTCTGAAGGTTGTCCTGTTGAGAACAAAATACCTCCCTAAAAAAAAGAAATCAAAACGAAGTCTACTTTTGTCCCATACTTCGACAATATTTCTACCATCACTGACACAAACCTGTAATTGCAAAAAGGGAAGATTGAAGAACATGTGAAGATACTTCAGGCCAAATCCATTCCGCATTGAGGACTCTGCATAACGGATCTTGCCAGAGCCTTCTGGTCTGAAAAGAAAATGAGAATAGAGGCCATAAACATATTGCGACCTCAGTGCTTTCTTGTCGTATCTCCATTTTTAAACAGTTCATACAAAGAGTGAGCTAAAAAAGAAGTCACATTTTCAATGTTAAAAAAAATGGAGACACGACAAGAAAGCACTGAGGTCGCGATATGTTCATAAATTGCAGCCTTCGTTTAATTAAAGGAGTTAATTTTTCAAAATGAGATTTATTTGTAAAAGTAAATTGATACCCTCAGATTCCATATCATGCGAATGTGTGGAAACAGGAAAAGCAAAAGCATCAAACAAACAAGTAAGTTACAGAACAATCAGCTAAACTATCACACTGTCCACAAAGCACTTACAGCATTAGGAACCAAAAGGTTTTAGTACACTGTGAGAAAGCACAGAAAGATAAGACAATATTTTATTGACCTCCACAAAGATAAATTTGCTGTGGTATGGTAAATACATACATGCACAAGCAAACATCAACCCACTCACACACAAACACACACTTACATACATTGACGTATACATATGATAGTCACTAGATTGACATATTGTAAAAAATTACATTATACATATAAAAAAATTACTCTCACACATCTGATATTGGCTGAATAACTTTTATTGATTACGTTATGCATTAATTTTTTATACCAGTTGGTCCTTTCTTTCTTTTTTTGTTCTGGAAATAAAACGTTTGCTTCTAAACAAATGTTCGAAATGAATCGAGTTTGTTCTAACCCAAGTTACCTCTCTCTCTGACACTGCTCCACAAAGTAGTTGGCCTTCTCCTCCGTCACGGTGCGGTGATGTCCCATGTCTCGGTGGTTGCCCAACACCAACACTGGCAGGTGACTCGGAACTTTCTCCATTTCCCTCTCCACATAACCAAAGGTCCTGAGAAATGAAGAAATAAGCCAACCATTGAGGTGTGAATCTATGTCCGGAGTAGTGGAAAGACGTGGAATAATGTCAATCAGAAAGGCAATGACCCTGAGAAATGAAGAAATAAGCCAAACATTGAGGTTGTTTTTTTTTTAAAATAGTAGAGGGTTTTACGACGCTCGCAACTGCATAAGGTCATATGAGCGCCAAGGGGTGGGTGTCAACAGAGAAGTCCTTACAGGGAATCAGACGTAGACTGCTCATCTCTCTAGCTTCAACAGCACAAGGTCTGCTTCGACTTTCAAGGCACCCCGGAAATAGCAAGTCACAAGAGAGTGACAAACATACAAAAGAAGTAGAGGAAAACTACAATAGTAAGGATCAGGAAATAAAAAGCAGCAGTTCCCTTCATTTTCTGCAAGCATTATGAGCTAGTATGCACAGGTAAGTCGTTTCTTCCAACTTATTAGAGCACTCAAATTTCAGAAGGCTTTGAAGCAAAGGGCCAGACTATTTCCATCCCACAGTTGACATAAACCTACAGCCTTATTGGTTTAAGTTCAAATTCCGTCTAAACACACAATAAGCCATTTTGAAGTCAGACCACTTGTTTTCTTAACAGCTGTTCTTACCAGGAAATTTATCCCCTGAAGAATGAAAAAATTCTCAGCTTCTTCGAACGAAACAAAAATCTGCATTTAAGGAAGAAAAAGATCAGGATGGAATCTTTTTCTTCCTTTGGTGAAGGACTGCGATACATTAAATCATCAGGGAGCAACCGGTTACAGACATGTCGGTGACACCCTCCAACCTCCCTCCTATCCAGCACTTACCATTGCTTCGTTATATCAAACACAAATACAACGCCGTGGGTCCCCTTGTACACATCAAGAAACTCTGCATCCAAGCACGGCTCTTCCGGACTCTGAAATAAAAGGAAGGCAACTTCAGAGACAGGCCAGCAGAAAGTAGGCTACTTAAAGTCTTAGGCAAACAAGGTCAGGGAGGATGAAAATGAAGGAAAAAAAAGAAAATCGAGACAGGTAATAAGAACAGAAGAAAACTAAAAGAAAAAATTAAAGGGGAAAAAAAGTGGTGACTTAAAAAATCAAATCAAATAAAAACTAATCTAGAGATAGAAGACTTCCATTATATTATAGGTTTTCCTTATTTCATGTTAGATAAACAACAGCATGTATAAATATCATAATGTAATGATGCACTGATCAACAACGATGTGAAAACGAAAACATAGATCTAAAAATTACCGCAATTACTGACTCCACAAAACTTGACAACTAATTTCGAGGACATCCCTACCGCTAGTTCCGCGTTCTCCATCTTCAAGCCCTCAAGTTTCCGTCGCTTCCTCCCCTTGTCAACCACGTCCCAGACTTCCACTTTCACGACGTCATCTGTGGCACGGTAGTTCCACTGGATGGACGCCACCTGGAAAGAATATTTGTATAGCACATATATACCTGCTCAAACGGAGGCACCAACACTTTGTAATTCATGAACATGTATACATGCTAGCATACTTATTTAATTTTGTACAATTCTTACAGCTCAGTGAAAACAAAATAGTTTTTAACTCTATTCTCTACCTCAGTGAGGAGTTCTGAGGAAAACCATGCAAAAATTAATTATTCAAAACATTCAGTTACAAATAAATAGTTTCCTCAATGAATACAAAAAGCTGAAGGTAGAGCAAGAAACTTTGTACCAGATTTGATTGACGAAAGAAAAATTTTAGTTTTCAGAAATGTTTAGCAAAAAAAAGGTAAATTTTCAAAGGGACAAGTTACAAATTTCTTGGGAACATGTATTTTCCTTTACCTGAATTTCATCTGTGGGTATGTATTCCTCCTTGAACTTTTGACCTTGCAGGCGATAGAACAAGCAAGTTTTCCCAACATTTTTGTCTCCTCGTATGACAATTTTCACTGGTCAAGAACAAAGAAACAAAAGTCAGTATTGGAATAAGAACTGCCCCCCGTTAAACATGAGTTTCAAGATTTGGGTTGTTGCACGAGCCAACCTTTAAAGAATGACTCCAATGAGTAAAATAAAATACAAACTTTAATGCAGGAATTGAAATAAAAATGTAAATATCGTATATTATGCAAATAAAATACGAAGGATATAATACATATTTATGGTTTGTGCCTTAGTCAAACCTGTTCCAACAGCCACTAGTACAAATCACCATTTCCCACTTCCCCTACCATTTTTTTACTCTTCTATATATACAATGACACTGTCCAAAATGACCACCTCTGTAAAGTGTCCGCAACCATTTGATCAGGAATGTTTTGTTTTTAAAGTTGAGTCTAACACATTCAGCATTCGGTCTTTATATATAGCAATCTGCATTTATAGGATGAAGTACAAGTGTGTTGGTAGGTGTGCATGTGTGTACCCAGGGAACTTGCAGAATAACAATCTGAAAGTGACTTACTGTTATACTGTACGCCTTTAGCAAAGCGTCTCTGTAGCTGTATACCCATGGCCTGCATGCCAGCAGGGGGCGTCCCAGGGGACTTGGCATCGCCATCGGTATTCTTGTTCAGCAAACGCTTGAAAAGCGACATTTTGCTGTCTCACCTCACTGTCTTTTGTGGCAGCTTTATATCTCACACCTGTGTACATTGCAAGTGACATATAGACTTAGAACAGTATTTGTAAGATGTGTGTATAAAAAAGCAATTTAAAATATTTATTAAGAACAAATGTCAGTTCAACCAACTACTCATTCCCACATTGATCTCTTCATGAACAAGCAAGGAGGTAGCAGGAAAGAAAACAAGATTGTACACTAGTTTCAGCAATAAGCACTGTTATACGTGTTGTTATCCAACTGAACAGACAAGGTCCACTGTTGACGAGGAGAGCAAAGTTATTGTTTAAGAGAGGTTGACAGTAGCAAGATAAAAATATCTGTCATAGATCAAGTAGATGGGCATGCTGAAGTTTTACTTGCAGTAAGACCACAATATGTGAAAGGCAAAATCTTGGGGTAGCTCAGAGTAGATGATGATTGGTCCCCATTCTAAAGGACCTCAACCCTTCAGGCCCGGGACATCCAGGACATGTATTACCTTGTTCACCGACAGTTGACCCTGTGGCTAACTTTCCGCAGACTTTCGAGTTTGGAGTGCTGCACTCTATGCAGTCGTCATACCACAAACAACATACTCATACTTTGCTATAAAAGGTCCCTTTATTTAAAAAGCTGTCAGACAAAAACATCTAAGCCATTCTTGTCAGAGGAGCACATTGAGTAAGTAGTAAATGAAATCAATTTTAAAACTTCATTTTTAAAAGACTGTCTGCTCATTAGCTGTCAGTCTACAATGCTCACCATCGTGTGACCAACATGTGCTCTGAAAATGGATCACAACTAGTAAGCTAAAGTCCACCTCCAACTCAAGAAGAATTGGGCTTAGGGGAGGAGAAAAAAACAACTTACAATATTCAAAGAAAAATAAGATTGAAGGCTTATTTATATATCTAGATTTCTAGATCTAGAATTACAGCTGTTGGAAGGGAGGACTTCCAGGCGCTTTTTCGGTAGTTCCCACCCCGCAATTGTTATTCACGGGTTTTGGCCCCAAGAGTAGGGGGACCTAACAAAAATAGGAAGGGGGGTTTCACAATTTAATGTTTTGCTGTTGTTAGGTTTGATATCTTAGCTCACCGCGAATCAAACGTATAGATCTAGATCTAGAAGTAGGTCAGGCTCAAATAAGGGGGGTGGGTACTACCAAAAAAGCACCGACTTCCATAACAGGCGACCACTTCACTATGAAACAGAATAGAATAGAGTGTTAGGGTAAGGGCTTGGGGTAAGGTAGGGTTAGGGTATGGGTAAGGGTAAGGGTGGGGGTTGGGTAAGGGTAATGGTAGGGGTTGGGTCAGGATTAGCACGGTTCACGTTAGATTTAGGTCTCTTACTTTATATAGTGTTTGTTTGTTGGGGAAGTCACTGGACCAAGTCCTTCCTGTTGGAACATAATCTAGTCATGAGCTTTTGCCAAAAGGTGGGGGTGTTTGCTTAAGGACTTTTTAAATCAACCACTACTCATGGTAAAATATGTTTTCTTCTGAAAACTTTATGCATATATGGCAAGGAAATAAGTTGGTCAAGCTGCATGAGCAAGTAGATTGATGTGTGCATCTTATATCTCTACATAGAAAGATAATAGTACTAAAAATAGGGCATTTTTTACTCATCCTGAGTGCACACGTAATTATATGTTAAATACAGAATATTGTTAATCTTAAACTATCAAACAGAAGTGCATTCAAACATTGAAAATAGTTTGTATACACCATCATAACAGCGGGCGTCCATTAAAAGGGTTTTATTTTTTTATATTAATGATGTTATTGCTGAGTAAAATTTATAAGTTCGTTCATAACTCGTGTCATAATTACATCATCAGACTTTCCAAGGTCTAGAAAACCCTAATCGTTAAACATATCATCCCGGGGAATGACCGGTATTAAACATTGGTTTGACATTGATCCATCAGAAGGGTAATTTTCCGCTCCATCGCATGGTTTTGCTTAAATATGACTTTGATTGAGATAATCCAGGTTTGTCATAATGATGTTATGAACAAACACTTTATGATATTTCTGCTAAATATCATGTGAGGGACTTCCCACTGTTTCACAACATCCTTTTACATGGTGGAATGAACATGGAAGAGTATCGTGCTGATGACTCAAAAGAGAAGCGAAGAAGAGGCAAAAATATGCTTGTCATAATGGATTGTCATCATGTTATGAACGTGACAGTGTGTCATAATGGTTATGAACGAAACCTTATTCCATGTAATTTACAGTTGTTTTGGGATGTATTTTTAATTTTAACCCAACTTGAGGATGTATTAGACCTTGCTTACATTCTGATATTTTGATTTTTATCATAAGTGTATGGGTCTGGATTTTAATCAGTATTTTACTTTTGTAGTAATGGTTATGAACGAACTACATATTGTACTCTGAGGGCTTTCCAGAGTTGATAAACATTAAAAACATGTACACAGATACATATTATGAGGAAACTTTCATTTAATATAAAATTTTTAAGTAAATGACAGGTCAAAATATTAATTTTTAGGCCAAAACTGAAGTTTGTCATAATAGTTATGAACGAACAATTAAAGGTATTCTAAGGGTTTTTCAGTGATTAAACTTGGAATTCTTCCAACATATAACCTTATTTTGAGGAGAGTCTCATAAATTAAAACAATTTTATGTGAATGACAGAACAATAAGTTTAAAATTTTTTGGGCCCAAAGTAAAATTTGTCATAATAGTTATGAACGAAACAGTGTGTCATAACGGTTATGAACGAAACCTTATTCCATATAATTTACAGTTGTTTTGGGATGTATTTTTAATTTAAACCCAACTAAAGGACAGAACAGACCTTGCATACATTCTGATATTTTGATTTTTATCATAAGTGTATGGGTGTGGATTTTAATTAGTATTATACTTGTAGTAATGGTTATGAACGAACTATTTATAGTCCATTTTATATATTTTGAGGGCTTTTCAGAGTTAACAAACTTTAAAAACATGTACAGAGATACATATTATGAGGAGAGTTTCATTTAATAAAAGTTTTTAAAAATGAATGACAGATCAAAATGAGTAAATTTTTAGGTCAAAATTGAAGTTTGTCATATTGTTATGAACGAACCATTTTAAAGGTATTCTAAGGGTTTTTCTGGAAATAAACTTTGAATTCTCCCTACATAGAGGAATCTATCATATTTTAAGGAAAGCCTCATAAATGAAAACCACTTTATGTGAAAGACAGAACAATATAAGTAAATTTTAGGGGCCAAACGTAAAATTTGTCATAAATAATAGTTATGAACGAAACAGTGTGTCATAATGGTTATGAACAAACTTTAAATTTATGCATTATATGCCCTAAGACCAGTTTGCGTTTAAAAATAGCTGCTCAATGGTCTTTCATTTATCACTTGACTATAATTAGACCAGAGTGTTATTTTAGACAATTCTAGTCGATGAAACTTGATATAAATTGATAGTATTTTGGTCACTTATTGTTCGTTCATAACTATTATGACACAAAAAAGTAATATTATCAAAAATTAATAAAGATTTTTATAAACTGTCAATTCTATGTATTTTTGGAAGTTATTTGCTATGTCTCAAAATATAACATCAGCCTAGCTGAAGAAAGGAACTTTGAGTATTCATAAATTTGTGTCATCATTGTTATGAACGAACTTTTTGCTATTTCCGTCATTCAAGTCAGAATTACACCAAAACCATTGCATATACAGCTTTGGCAGTTACTGAGCCTGAAAGAGCAATCATTAGGCTATATAATACGGGTGATTAAAGAATTATTACATAAAGTTGATTTTGGACCTCATTTGTCACACCCAGGCATCCCACCTTTTGGCAAATGCTCTCATGTGAACTGCCACACACAGTGGTGAAGCCAACACCCTAAGACAGGGGCTTGGCAGTATTGGCAGCCTTGCAAGAAAGCAGCTTAGCGGTCAGCTGATTCGTGCTAATCTTTAAACTAACACAAATGAGTGTATGTGTGCTAACTCTCTCTTATCTTTGCAACTCTGACATCAAGTAATAAAGACCACACTACACACTAATTCATAATTATAGTTTCATAGTATTAACAACATTATTTTTCACTGAGACACAGCGTGTAAGTTGTAAATCTAGAGAAGATTAGGCCTAGATTTAGATCTCTAGATCTATTTACAAAATTACATGCACCTACAACTCTCAACGACAACACTACAGAACTTCAACAATCCAGGCTCCAGCCAGGAACAAAATAAGAATTTAACAACAATCTGACCAGATATATAGAATTGTAAGGTTGAACAGGGACACGAATTGATCTCTTAAAAACACAGAAAGGCACAAATAACTAACCCAATTGCAAGAGCTTTCGGTGTACGAATTCTTCGCATACTTTCACTATTAAAACCAGTGTATTTGTACGCGAGCCTCTTCTCAGCTAGCCTACTGCTAGGCCTAGATTGAGTTAAAAGTAGCCATCTTTTTCATGACCGGAAATACGCAATCAGATAGTGTTTCATTTTAAAACTGACCATGATTTTATGTTCCATTAAATGCCATCCACCCTCACTACTTACTGCAGGATTCGGTGTTTTGTACTTATAGTTTCTTTCCCCTTCTTCCTTACACTCCCTTTCACGTAGATCTACCAATAGCAATGACTAAAACATTTGTACATAGCTAGGTTTGGATGTTTGGATGCTGCTTTCTTATTTCCTTGCAAAAGCTCCCACTCCCATATATGAATCAGATCTGCAATGAAAATCCCTGTGCTGTGTTCATTATTAATCATGTAGCCTAGGTCTAGATCTATCTGATCTCTTCGCTAATATTATCATTGTTATTATTACTATATTATTATTGTTAGTATTGCTGTTATCATTCCGTCGTGCAGTTGTGTGCAAGATTATAATATTATTATTTATAGGCGATATGGACGCATAGGTCCTTATTAACATTACTCCTTTCCTTCGAACAAACTCCTTGAATTTGAATGGACGGCACCTCATAAACTCGGCTTTTGTTCCCAATCAGGCCTTCTATTTTGTTTAATATAGGAATATTTGTCAGCTAGCATAAATAGGATTATTGCTCTCGATCTCTGACGCAGTCCCTACTACTTCTATAATAACAGTAACATCAAGCGAAAAATCGGTACGCTAACTGCAACAAGGGTAGGCTAGTTAGAGTCGTAATCGATTCGAGACCGGAGTCTCTTACTTTTGTTATATTGTTGATTTGTTGCTTTTTTCTGGGGGGGGGGGGGGGGGGGGGGGGGGGCTTGTATTCATTATATTCCAAGGTTAGATTTGGGAGGATGTAGCAGTTGCCTTCTATTGTCTCAGCTGACGTGCGGTGTGGTCTGCTGACTGGCCTAGGCAAGGGATGTTATCGAAGTATTGTATGCCACATTGGTCTTCATTAATTTTTATGCAGACAATGAGAGGCATGTGGGGTAGTTTTTAAAGAATAAATAGGCTTCTTAAAAGGTGTTATAAGGTACTTTTAAAAACAAATGATAGGCCTAAGTTATGAAGAATATATTTCCAAGCTAGAATGGCGTTTTATGACAGGGTGTCATCTATAGTATTAAATCTCCGGTAAAATGCGGCAACAGGACCTGACATACGGAAGTCGCCTGCGGCTTATAATGTTTGTTATCACATGACGGAGGACTGACAACTTGCAACCGAGTCTAACCTCTGGCGTTGATCTTCTCTCTTTGACAATCTCAATCGGTATGGCGCAGAAGACAGAGGGTATTCAGCAACTTCTTATTGCCGAGAAGAAGGCAACTGACAGAGTCCACGAGGCCCGTAAACGTAAGCTATGCATGTGTGGTGATATTGTGTATTGTGTGGTCTGTGTACTGTGTGAAGTGTGTGTCCTTGTTGATTGGTTTGGAAGTAACTCGATGCTCAGTAACTAACTGAATGGAAGTTGGACAGTCTTCCCGTTCTGCTCACATACATTTGTTACACTCGGGTAATAACAGGGTTAACATTGCTAGGGCAGTCTTCCATATCTGCACAATTAATTCCCATTTGTTACCTTCTGGTCTATTGGGCTGGGCAAAAAAAAAGTCAGGCAGTGTTTAGAAGGGGTGCTATCTGATCACCCGGGTGAGACTTACCAGCGTTGGCTATTCTCACTTGGTGTGAAACAAGACCTGCTTTTACTAATTTCGGAATGGCTCCGTTTTGGAATACTATCGATGTGGATGATCTAATTGACAAAGGGAGATTGACAAAAGCAAAGAAAAAATGATGTTATAGATCTAGCACAAAAGTAAGACAATTTGGTACTTTTCGAATCAAGCCGAACTACATGGGTCGCCATCTTGTTTTGCCCGGAAGTTCTCGTGCTACCCTCCCTCTCTCTTTCTCTCTCTCTCTCCCCCCCCCCTCTCACTGCTCACAGACAAAATTGCACGCTTTCTACACAAGAGCGCTGGAACGTTTGTTTGCGGTGAACGCTACACTGGTTGGCCTAGTCTATCACGGTGACACCGGGTGAGAATAGCCAAAAGGCTTGCCTGCGCTATTCTCACCCCGGGTGAGAATGGAGGTGGCCGTTACAGTAATATAATAGAGATGGACTCATAGAGACACGGTGCAAAAGGCAATAAAAAAAGACGGTTCTTGATATTGGATTTTTAGTTATAAACTGAAAATAATGCTGTCACTTCAAGAATAAGAATATCTAAACCTAGAACTAGCGAATACTAAGTGCTCTTGGCAGATGGCAGAGATGGGATTCATTGATTTGAGACAGGACCAGTCAGATTTTTCTTTTAAATCATGGAGCAAAAGTTGTCATTTTTTCATGTTCACACAATTTAATTGTGACCTTCAAATCAACAAACCCATTTCCAATGTCGGGAGTTGAAATGGTCATATTGTGTTAAAATGGTAGCTTAAAAATGCCCCTCCATGAAGGGAAGGAAAATGTGGCAGGTCCTACCTAACTAAATCAAATAAATTCACTTGGCAGTGTGTGCATTTGGGTTTAGCAATTGTGAGTTCATTTCCACATTGACAGCCAACTCTCCTTCCCCCAGCAAGCTGAGACTGCGTGATCGCTACCCGAAATCTCATTGGTTGACGTGTATATTTAACTTTACCCTCAGCAAGGTCAACTCAACTTGGTTGTTCTGTTCATACTAATAATGCAGGGAGGGCCAGTTTAGGTCTAGTAACTGGATATTAAAGCTCACGTGTCGATTGTATTGTTATTATCGAAAAAGATTTCATAAATGCTGTAAATATCTAGGAACAGGGGTTGGAAGTGACATCGTGCTGGACTCGATTCAGAGTCTGAATATAATTTTTGTTTTAAGCAGACTCGGCTTTAAATAGTCACTTCGATAATGGAGAACTTGCTGTCTCAAAATTCTTTTGAGTTTGAACAAGGAGAAAGGTCTCTTTGCTATACGGTGGTACCAGTCATTTTGTCCCACCGGTGCAGTCATCAAGACGTCACAATCATCTCGTCACACCCCAAATCCACAAGGTTGAATGGAGACGGTCATTTCGTCACGCGCTTGCAAACATCAAACGCGCATTGTCATGGCAATCGCAAATCACGATTTTTGGGGGGCGATTGGATGGTGCGTGGAAGGACAAGGAGGGGGTGGGTGCGAGTCGTCGTGCCTGCCTGATCAGCTGAACCGTTCATATCTGGATCAGTTTTGTTGGGTTGTTTTTATTGGCGGGAGCAGTTTTAGACTTAAATTAATTACTTTAAAAACAAGAGGGCACGCCCCAACGATTACGTGCTTGAAGTGGGTCGTTAGGGTAAAGACTGCTGGCGCTGATTCTCCAAAACTCTACTGACATAACAATTTTGGAGAGATAAGCGAAGTGATTTCATCACACATAATTGGGGTGGGACGAAATGACCGGTTTCCCCATTCGGTAAATGTCTACTTCAAAAAACAATTCATTCTTATGATACTATCAGTGTCCGTCAAAAAGTGTGAACAGCCATGGTCCCTGGTTCCTTAAAAAATAGATTTTTCATTAGAATGATTCTCATTGGAGTGGGTAAGCTCTGACTGTCTGATGGGTGTAGTAACTATATAATATATTATAGGTGTGTTTATTTTATGTCAGAAGTTGCAGCTATTCTCACACACAGATTTTCTTCTTTTTCGCCATCACCAGGTAAGGCAGCCAGACTAAAGACCGCCAAGAAAGAAGCAGAGGCAGAAATTACAGCTTACAAAGAACACAGAGAAAAACTGTATAAAAATGCTGAACAAGCGGTAAGTTATTGAGTTTCCGGTCTCAAGGTTGGTTTTTAAAAAGGTTCATAGATGACTATACATTGTGATGCTTGTTCGTCTCTGTGAGTTTACCTGTTGTTCATCTTATCTGTTTCACAATTGTGAACATTGCTGATCGATCTGATAAACTATAAGCAAATACCTCAAGGTTATTTATGTTCACAATTCTTCAGGATTCCGAGTCTGAAGAAATCAGATAGAAGTCGATGTGTCTGTCTGTCAGTTGTAGTGGTCAGAGTGTGCACTTATAATCCTGAAAAATTGTGAACATTGCTGATTGATCTGATAAACTCTGTAAGCAAATACCTCAAAGTTATTTATGTTCACAATTCTGAAACAGATAAGATGAACATTGAATGATGTGTAAACTCACAGAAACGAACAAGCATCACAATGTATAGTCATCTAATTGGTCATCTTAATTTTGTTTACCTGTTTCCTTTGGTGCAGTCCACGTACTTGGCTGTGAAACTCGTGGAAGTTATTATTGCCTGAGTTGTGTCCAGTGGAATGTTGACACTTGGCGTAGGTAATGGCCATATTTGATCTGCAGCACACCAAAGGAAGTAATGATGTGGAAAATTTTGAAACATCCGTATTACACAAATCAGAATCACAAATTTTCCTTATATTATATTCCAATGTACTTGTTTGTTGTCTGCCTCTTTTTAGGTTGAGATGAAGAAAACAGACCTGAAAAAGTCTGTAGTATAAAGTAACGAAATTATGCTTCATTTTTAAGTGTCTTTTCCTTCCTTCCTGAATCCAAGGTTTGATTGGGGTTCGGTTCGGAGCTGTACTTGTTCCGGGGTCTGCTGCACCGCGTAGAGGTCGCAATAATGACTGCAGCCAAATGTCTTTTCCAGCCTAGGAATAGTAACTCAAGTTTTATTTGAGACTCGTAAAATGTTCATCGTTAATTTGTGTTTCTCGATTTGTCTTTGTCTTCAGGCTGCTGGGAAACATGGCTCGGCGGAGACGGAGATTGCAGCGTACACAAACAAGCAGATCGTGGAGCTGGAGAAGAACATGAAGATGCAAATGCAGAAGTCTATGGTCTTGGTGCAGGATCCTCTGTTTGATATAGACATCTCTCTTCACGAAAATGTCAAGCTGAATTAGTCACGATGGTGTGGTGGATCACATTTGCTAGATGTTGGTGTTTTCATATGTCGTGTATGTTGGTGTATGGTGCAGCTGAGAAGTGTGGAAGACGGATTTGGAGCCTTGAGAGTGGTTAAGTGTGGTGCATTTGAAAAATATTTCTGGCCTTTTGGTTTAAAAGTGAAACTATTAGCTCCCGCATGCAATCAAATGATGCTCTTCCAACATTAAGTGCAGGGTAGAAAAGTTTGAATTCAGTCACTAGAAAGTCTCAATTCAGTACTTTGTGCCCTTCATAAAGTTTTAGTGAATGAGCTGCCCATACCATTTTGTAATCATATCTCAACAGCTCTGAAAGATGTTTTTCGTCTTATTGATGGATAAATCAACGTTTATCTGAGTTGTCCTTTTTCATCTTTGGAGTGGAGCGGATGAGGTTATTGTGAGATTGTGTGAATGTTGGAAAAATTTTAGGAGGTGGTTGCATAGCGTATAAGCACTACATTTGCAAAATTGTTGTATTTTTGTTCCCGTTTCTTTGGAGATTAAAAATTTGACAGTTTTGCTTGAGCCTACTTAGACATTTTATTGGTCAGCACAACAGAAAGGTTTTCTATACGTCATTGTTTCCTAGAGGTATGCTTGCAAATTTATACATATATATACGCGTATCTAGTCAGAACAAATACAACTGAAAGAGTGTATGTGTATGGTTGTTGTTTTTTTCTCTCTCACATGCTGGTAATGTCGTCTTTGATGTCAATAAGTGTGAGTATATGTAGCAGCGTAGCATTGATGTAGCCAGTTCATCTTTACGTCTCATGTATCAAAACTTGTAAGTAATCAGAGTGTCTCTCCAGCTCCCTTTGCTCTTCTGATGTGTCTATCCTTTCTGTGGGAATCAACAAATTCTCTGTGATATCTGTCATAGTGTGTTAAGCGTACAGTACTGTGCTACTACCTGCGGTAGCTTGCAAGGTTTATAGCTTCTCTTCCTCCTTTTGGTTTCAAATGTCGTCATCTGTTCATGATGAACGAACTGTGGCAAAATTTCTGTACCTTCTCCTTTCTTGTGCCTTTTGCCTGAACCCAAAAGCCTGTTTATCCAGGTTTATATTTAATTTCAAAGGTCCCAAAAGTTTGGTTTATCAATATTTTGCAGTGTCTTACACTTGTGAGAGACGTTTTCACTTCCAGTGGTATGCGTACACTACGTGTACTATTTTGAGAAATTTCAGATTTTCTTAAGTTTACCCTCGTATGGTTTGATTAGCATAGGAAAGCAATAGGCTGTTGACTTGTAAACGAATGTTGCTCACTTTAAGTTAATTAAAATGAGCCATGTTTCTTGAAGAAGCTTTTTGCTAAAAGCACAAAGAAAGACCCGCTGATACCTATGAATGTACATTATATTTTATAGTTGGTTGTGCGTCTGATTGGATGAATGAATGAATGGCCGGTCCTATTTCATGATGTCTCAGGACTTTCTCTCAAAAGGTATGGTATAAGTTCTGGTGCGTGAAACTGTATTTTGCAACGGTATAACTGTGTTCCTCAACTTTGTTTGAACTACCATGTTTTTTTTTACATTCCAAAGAAAGTTTATTATATTTGTACATCCAGTAGAGATTCTTTTAAAAAAGTTTGGAAATTCGAAAAGCTTTAAACTTGAATCCTGTTTCAGAAAAAGAAAAACCAAAGCATCATGTCATTAGAATCTCAATCAGCTAATTGTCGTGAGCCTCATTTTGAAATTTAGAAATACAAATTTCTGTTAAATGATGACAGGAGTAGATTTATTGGTTTTCGGTTTCAGCTACAAATTACCTTTTGAATTTTTGTGAGAATCAGCGTGAATTGTGAATTTTTGGCATGTGAGCTCAATATTTTTTGTTCTGATATTTTTTTTGGGATGATTTATATTCAGGCACTGACTGAATGTAACCATTGGATGATCCTTGCATTAGTAGATACTGTAATAAATATTACATAACCTCAAGTTTCTTTTTTATTGTTGTTGTTGTTAATGTTTTATCTTGTTGCTGGTTTCTTTGCTCTTGTGAATGGTTGGCGGGCGTTTTTTTAATAGTTTGCTCCTTTTTTCCTTCCAAACACACATCACCCTTATCTTTCTTCCTTCTTTTTGTTGTATGTTACTCTGTAGTATCGCCTCTATAATCCTCACCTGTCCCTGTGGTTTTATGCAAAAAAAATTCTGAAATTATGCAAACTGAGCCAAAAAATGTGAAATTATGCGATTCTGTTAATTTTAACAATGATTGAATGAATGATAAAGGAAAATAATAAGAAATTATGCAAAAAATGATCAAATTTTGCAAAATTATGCGGGGTGCAAAAAACCACGGGGACAGATAATCTTGGGCACTTGTATTTTTATAATCAAATTGTGTTGCAAGTGTCGTAAAACTCTTAGTCTTACTACTCTTACCAAAACTAAACTCTACTCTTTGCATTTCTTTTGCTTTCCTATGCTTGATCTGAACAGGTGTTTGAATGTAGAATCTTGCAAGTGGGTGGTTGGCGGGTGCTCTGGTGGGGTTTGCTTTTTCTTTCTTATCAAACATCTACCTTCCCCTTCTTCTTTTTTATGTTTGTTACTCTCTTGTAACTCCTCTTATCTTCTGGTGCTCATATGATGACCTTATGCAGTTGCAAGCGCCGAAAAACCTCTACTGAAACTAAACTAAGAATCTTGCTCGTATGATGACCGTATGCAATTGCAAGCGCCGAAAAACCTCTACTAAAACTAAACTAAGAATCTTGCACCTACAGTGTTGCTGGTTCTTGTGTGTCTGTGCTGCATATACTGTACTTTTGAATGCTCTTGAACTTTTGGTTACAACTTACAGTCAGTGGTTGCTGTGGGCAGGGAAGGTGTTTGTTCTTGATCCAGGGTCAGAAAGGCAATGATGATGATGAGTGGTAGTCCTGTGGTGCATTTGATAGTGTAGGCCAGCATATTCTTGGTCATTTGTTGTAGTTTGTAGTGACCAGCTGCTTTCCATTTTATGGTATAATTTGACTGAAATTGGAAGCTATTGTTTTTTTAAAATTATTTAGTAGAGGTTTTACAGCACTCGCAAATGCATAAGGAAAGGTCATATGAGCGTCAGGGGGTGGATGTCAACAGAGAAGTCTTTACAGAGAATCAGGCTTACTCTGCTCACCTCTCTAGCTTCAACAGCACAAAGTCTGTTTCGACTTTCAAGGCACCCCGGAAATAGCAGGTCACAAGAGTGTGACAAACATACAAAAGAAGTAGAGGCAAAATGACAATAGTAAGGATTAGGAAAGAAAAAGCAGCAGTTCCCTGTTGTAGATCAGGCACAGTTATGAGCGTGACATGATGAATCAGCCCATTTACAATTCTACTGTGAATTAACGAGAAATGTCCCCCCTTTGGGAATGGCCTAAAGACAATTCAGTCAGGGGCACCTCCCCAGGGGGGGGGGGGGGGGGGTGTGGAATTTGTGTTGTCCACACGTCCCAATTTTTAAACTGCTGCTGGGATGTCTTAGTCTTTGTGAGGCAGCGTGGTGGAATCAGGCTCTCGTCATTTTTTGGGCATGTAGAGTTATATTGGTATCACCTTAAAACTTGTTCACTTGTCTTTATTTGGATGCAAAAAATATCCCTCTGTCTTGAATACAAGTCGAGATATTTGCAAAAGAAGGAGGTGGGGGTCACCTGTTTTCAGAGGTGAAATTAGTGAGAAAATGGCCACCACAGATTAGTTATTTCCTCAGCTTAAGAGTGTGTGGTGGTAACTGAAGATTTGCTTTTTTTATGCCTTTTAATCAACGCTTTTCAGAAAAATCCACACAGGAATGAGTTCTTTAATGGACGTGAAAGGTGTGCCAAAAACCAAAAATTTGATAAAAATTCACAAACCTGTGGAAAAATGTCAGTTTCTTCACTATATTTTGACGAGAGCCTAATTCCACCACTTATCTTTTAACTCGTGGAGCACAAGATGCTCACGTCACAGTATTTATCCTTTATTCTAGACGAGAACTCAGAGCTCAATAAGAACACTTTCTTTAAAAAATTCTTTTTTTAATTTAGGTGTTTTTACGCCCCCATCAACATAATTTAGGTCATTTAGGAGGTGGGTTTGTAAGTTGTAACCCTGCCTGTCGGGGCTAACCCGAGGTGAGAGGGAGATATCTACAACAACCTAGCAGAAAGACCAGGATGTTTGAAATACAAATCCTCCGCATTGGGAAGTCAATTTTCAAACCTGTGTCTCCTGCACCTAACCGCTGCACCAGAGAGGTGGACTTTCTTGAGGGAAAGTTCAAAGATGAGAGGTGAGGAAAAACCCTGGTTGTCCACTGAACAGGCCTTAGTCACTAATTGACTAATGGTGACTTCTGCACACTGGCTCCAAAAACGAATCCTGAACTTTTCAGACTCCCAGGAAACTTATCTGCAAGTACATGTACTCACAATTCATGGATCGTGCTGACCATGTCTTATTTCGAGTTAATTTTTGTATCAAGTATAAAGTACAAAATCATGACAATTTCAATAATCTGGGTTTATCCGGCTCTCGTCCTGATCTCTCCTCCTTTTCTTTGTAGCTCTTTAGCAACCCCTCTACTTATCTTCAACACTTACAATGTGACCTATTTATGTTGCAAGTGCCATATAAAAAAAACTCTTCCAAAACTAAATTTATCTGGAAAATCGGCAACTGTGATGTCCATCCAAGTTGGAAACTGAACCTGGCATTCTGTTGTTATAAGAGGCAGGTGCCTGACAACCTACCTTCATTTTAATCTTTGCTCAGGAAATCTGTCCCCGTGGTTTTATGTATGCACCCCGCATAATTTAGCAAAATTTGATCATTTTTTGCCTAATTTCTGATTATTTTCCTTTATCATTCTTTGTTAAAATTAACAGAATTGCATAATTTCACATTTTTGGGCTGTTTACATAATTTCAGAATTTTTCTTGCCTAAAACGACGGGGACAGGGTAATGAGTTCCACATCGTGATGAAGTTTCTCCTCAGGAAAAGTGGGTGGTTGGAGGGCGCTACTGGTACGGAGATGCTACTTCTTTACTATCCCTCTGTTTTGTTTCTGTCTATCTGTATTACCTTTTCCCAGCACTAAATGACAATTATTGTGCTGCTGTGCTTCTCTTTTCTCAAACTCGGTAAAATTATAAACATTAATCTATAGGCTTCTATACACACACACACACACACATATATATATGTATATA